GTATGATAAAGAAAACTGGTAACAGTTCTTGAAATTGATCACCAGATTTGAAATGAAAAGTGTATTTGGAGTTTTTAAAGAGTATTTTTTTCCAAAGATTGTGTAGGAATTTGATCTCATGATTTCTATATTTGAATGAAGTAATAATTTTGAGTTTTACTTAAGAATATTATTGCTTGGGCAGTTTCATCTGTAAGAAATATTTTTCAGCTCGTGAAAAGACATTTGAAGATATATTGAGTGACAAGGATTTTATTTATGATACTCTGGCAGAAATATTTCCCCAAACAGTTGTTATGGTAATGATGAGGACTGTGCTTAAGCCTCAGGAGGTAGGTAAATGTGAAATTGGGTTAACATTGAGGTAACATTTAAGGTATTTTGTATAATGTTTTGATTAAATCCTTTATCTAGTGAAAGTTATTTAGTGTATGCATATATATGAAATTTTGTCAGCTTTTTCATATAGATTTTGAAAACGGACTTTTTGTTTAATTTAGACCCTAAATTAAAAAAATAATACAAAAAATTTTTTTCTGCCAATATTTACAAACACTGGGACCTGTAGTTTGCTTATAAATACATTACCTACAGAAAAAGTTTTCATAACAACTGCTGAACTATGTTTTTGTGTTCAGTCAAGGTATTGGCTCTTCTTTGACATTTGATACATAATTTGAAGCTAACCTCTATGTTTTCTGTCTTCATGAGAAACTGTCTTTGTTTCAATGGCAGCCTAATGGATATATAAAACGGGAAGCAAATATTTAGAACTAACAATAAAGCATAGTGATGGTAATCTTGAACTAACTGTAAAGTGCTCTGACAGAGATGATATATTGACATATCAATATTTGTACATTTAGAAACTCTTAATAACATTTGTAAGGTCAATCTATAAATGGTTCAATGATTAATAAATTTTAGTTTTAACCACCAACTTTAAGTACATAAGTGGTTTGGGGACCAAGAGAGTGACATTTTGAGGTATATGGCACCCATCTTGGACTTTGTTTGTATCTAGAAATCTTTAAAGACACTTGTTAATCCCTTGCTGTAAAGATGCTTGTACTTTTGGGACCAGTAAATACTAAAACCTATCTTAGTTACCAAGTTTGAGCACTTGGGGCATTTTGCTTATGAGATAGTGATTTTTAGGTTTTTTTGGTAAATAGTGGCAGAAAAACTGGAAATGGTTTTTTAAAATTATCATTAATTTAGGGTGCAAATTAATCAAAAAACCTAAATTTTGAAAATCTATATGAAAAGCTCGTAAAATTGTACCTAGTGACATAAACTTTATGTAGGATATATTTTTCTTAGCCATGAGTTGCAAGTATCTGTAGGATTTTTAGATATATCTTTTTAAGCCTTATTTGTTAACATTGCTAAGATCTGTACTTTTTTTTTTCAATATTCAGAGGAATTGGTGTTAATACATTTTATTTCAGTGTTTACAAAATATTCATGATTCTAATATAAAAGACTTTATTTAGATATTTTCTTTAAATCCTTTAAAGTAGAGATAAATTTTGTTGATTATTTTCTGTTTTTATGAACTGTTTGAATGTTTTTATTTACACAGTCTAAAATATTTCAACAACTTCAAACCCCACAAGATGTGTATAATTCTGTCTGCAATAGTCCTGGCATTGCTTCAATGATGATGATCCAGGATAAAGATTCTGACATGGTCAAATATTGGCAGAAGATTCAGACCAGGATTTGCAGGTTTACAAGTGAAGAAGATATTATAAGAGTAGCAAAACTATTCTTAGTAAAGGAAAAATATTTTGATAAGGTAAAAACATATAAATAATTGTTATTTTTTTTGTAATATCACAAATTTGTTGGTTATATCTTAAACAAATGTTCCAATTTTAGGTTTGTTTGACTAGTTTTGTTACATTTATCAAATTTGATTATTTGGATTGATGTTTAAGGGTTTAAAGTCAAGAGCCTTTCTTAGTGGGAACTATTTGAAACAAAAATGATTTGGCAACATAAAAGTTTATTAAAAGTCAATCTCAAAAGAGTTAGATTGTGAAAACAAAGTTAGAATATTTTGTTTTTATCTTATTCAGTACTTAGAATTCGAAGAATAGATGGTTAATTAGCTATATTTATTAATGTGCTTTTAGGGAAAAGTGACCCTTGCAGACTTAATCAACAACACAGCTTCAATTATTACTAAAGTGGAGTCACTGACTTCTTTGTTTTCTTCATGGCCACCTAAATATGCTTCACTCATGAAGGAAATTGGTGGTTTACTAGGATCATTCTACAATAAGGAAAATACAAATTTTGATTTGTAAGTAGAATTTATTATGTTCAGTTTTATGGCTGCATGCAGTCATGGTAATATTTTCTACAATACGTTTTCATGTTAGTTGTAGTGAATTATAACGTTTTACAGTCAACATTTAAAATAATTTATTGTTAACTCTAAGTTTATATGTAATTCGAAATAATCACTCATGAAACGTCATAAAAAGATTGACTAATTAAAACTGAAATTTTAAAATGTGGGAATATAAGTTTAATTGAAAGAAAAAGTTTCACATTTCTGTAAAAAATGTGGTTTATTAACTGACATATTATATTTGCATTTAAAGTTTGAGCTGTTAGTTAAGTAATCTTGTTTTACTTGCTGTAGTGAAAGACTTGCTAAAAGTATTGAAAAGCTAACTGACATGATGAAAGATACCGAGTATTGGCCTCACCTGGAATCTTCAGCAGCAACTGTATACAAAGTTTTAAATACTTCTTTGGATCTGGTAAAATCTGGTAAGTTTTCTTCTGGTGTTATATAGAACACTTTGTCAGACCTGATTATTTCTAGTAAGTTTTGAGATAGCATTGGGAATACTATCTTGAACTTTATTATCTCTGGTAACTAAAGTACTGGGAACATTTGGTATTTAAAGTTTATTATTTTAGCAAGTCTTGTTGTAAGTGTGGTAATTCATTTTTGTATTTGCTTGGCTTGGTATCAAACTCAAGAGCTCTTGCACACCATATGAGTGCTTTGCTAACTGAAACATAAGGTTATCCACTGTAGTAAGAGGAATTATATTATCATTATTTCTTCTTTCAGATGGAGACTTCTGTTGGCACATAATCATATCATTACACATTTATCACATTATACACACACATACCTAGTATTAATAATAACTTGCAAGTTTGCTACCTATTTTGGGCAATCATCTTATCTAAACTTAAACTATAGTGTATAATGTAACTCAACAGTCACATGCTTTGTACAAGGTGTTTATTGCTGATTTGACTTATGGCATAGTGTTATGTTAATAATTGCAAACATGAGATATTTATGTGTGTTGAGCTGTAGTAAATAAATATATAACTGTAAAGTTAAGAGAGAAATTAGGATTTAGTAGTTTTTGTTAATCACTTGTGAAGGCATTACGATGTACAAGCATGATAATTCTTCAGAGATTTACTGGTTTTCAAGTTTTGTGCATCACTTCAGGTCATTTGAGAATGTAAAAGTCCATTAAGAAAATACTTGAAAAAATAATGTTAACACGAATAATAATTGACTAGTAAAAACACTAGATTTGGAGCCAGGAAAAGCTGAGAATGTACCAAAGAGAGTCTAAAATTCTTCAGCTTCTGAAACCCATCGAATGTCCCAGAACCCTGGCCTAATGGTTTTGCACCTTGCCCTTTGGCTTCAACAAATGTTTCGAATTTTTTGCTTTTTATCTGCATGTGGGTTTTTAATCTACCAGTGCCTGATTAGACTTGCTGCTCAACATGTCCTGTATTAATGAATTGTCTTGTGTAATTCATCTTAATGTGTTATTAAGCAGTTCCCTGGGAATGCTGGGATTATTTGTTATTGAGCTAGCCGAGACTATTGTCTATGACCTAGCCATATTTGGGTAAGGAACAAAATTTTCACAGTAGCCATTACCAATAAGGTAGCTTTTAACAACTGAAAAATACTATATTCTTTCCCTATTACAAACAAGTCTTGGCCTCAAATCTATCATAAGATGAAGGCTAGTCAGTTGTCAGTTTTTTTCTGTGGTAAGTTTTATAGGTTTTTGCACATTTTTGGGAATGATATCTTACTTAAGACTTCTTGTACACCAGGTGAGTGCTGTACCAACTGAGTTAAAAAGTTAACCTACTAGCCATTTTTAGTGGGGTTCTTTTTAAAACTCACCTTACCACAACAGTAATAATCGTAATATGTAATATTTAAGTTCTGTTGTTTCTTTATGTAATTTTGTGGTACTGTAGCACTGACAACAGGATCGTTACTGTTGCTTGTGAAAATTTTAAGAACAACTTTTGGGATAAGACTATAGTTTAGGTGAAATTTATTTATCTTTATTTATTTTTTTGATGTCTTGGTAAAACAATCTCCAGTACAGTTGTTCCTACTGTGATTTTTGGTGGAAATATTTAAAATGTTTTTGGGATATACTTTATACACTGTGTCTTTTATTACATTGTTAGAAATTAAAATAACTAGAATTCTGTCTCTATTACTAAAACATCAGATATTAATTTTTAAGCTATTATCACTTGTGCTTGAATAATTAAACAAATTATGAATAACTAGCTGAAAATATGTTTTGTATTTGTTTTTTAAAGTTAAATATTTTGTTTTATAACCTGTATTTTTTTCTTTTAGAACTTCTTTATGGGTTAAAAGAAAGTAATCTGTTCTGGCCACATGTACTTGAAATGTTTCTGTTGACCACTGCTAAGGAAGAAAAGGTCAGTACTAAGACTTCCAGAAGTCTACTGTTTATTCTATCTAGTTGCTTGTGGCTATATCTTTTACTCTCAGACTGAGCAGATTGGGTTTACTATCCTGCTATGAAATGTAGAATTAATTATTTGTGGTTATCCTCATATTACTACTAACTTAATATTATATAATTTGTTCAAAATAATTGCTTTTAATGAAACTAGTATTGATTTTGAAGAAATATGTATATTAATGCGGTAACTGGATACAAATAGAAAGACTAATTTTTCTTATTATTCTGTGATCTAATCTTTCACATTTGGCTAATAGGTGTGGTCATATTAGATTATTGATGTACAAGTTTGGCTAATATGTGTGAGCACATTGTATTATTGAGGTACAAGTTTGGCTAATAGGTGTGGGCACATTGTATTATTGAGGTACAAGTTGGGGTAATATGTGTGGTCACATCATATTATTAATGAGATCTTGCCTGATTTATGCATGTTGTTAAACTGATAAGCAGAAGAAAGGCTAAAATTCAGACATTATGGTTAGTAAAGAGACATTTTATTGGCAGCACGGTCAGTTATTGTTAAAAATAGTTGTCTTGGATTTGAAAGTTATTGTTAAGTTGTCATAAAGTTTGCAGGGAGTTTTTTTTTTTTACTACTCAAAATCTGTGAGTAATCTGTCAATATGAAAAGAATCCAGTGAAAAATAGCTGCATAGCAATCATTTACTAATTACTGAATTCCTGTTGTTTACTTGTTGAACTACCTGAAAATTCTCCAGGATGTCAGAATTCAAATTGTTCTTCTTCAGATGACCAACAAATTCTGTTTTGTTTTCTTTTGATAGTTGTCCTTTTTTCAAACATGGTTTTTTTAAGATCATTGTGGGAATGAATGTCAGAGTAAGTGGTTACATTACATGCCCTCTGGTAGAGACACATAAATATTTACATATTTACTAAACAGTTTGGTATTTGGTAACCTTGTAAAAACATGGGATGATTATGTGGGTACAAACATTTCAGCCTACCAAAATGCTACCACAGCTTTGGTTTGTAAAACTTAAGAAATTCTAAATTTAGATTGCTTGCACTTTCTTCCACAAGTCTTATATGGGTGAATGGAATATATCTTGCAATTAGCATCTAAAACCAATCGTGAATCCACGTTGTTAGGATAGGCCTAGTTTGAATAAAATAACATGAATGGAAAACGTTTGCCTTAACCCTTTCACTGATAACAAAAAAAGTTATTTTCTATGTCTAAAGTCAAAGTTTTATATCAAAACTTAAGTTTTTTATTTTATTTTTTTGTTACAGATAGCACTAGAAAATTATTTCTCATTATAAACAGTTGTTTGTTTTTAATCTGATTTAAGCCTATTTTTCTTCCTGCTTTGATTTGTCCAGTGGAGAGTAAAATTGCTGACTAGGCAAGTAGAGTCCACAGAAGATTTAGATGTTTTTCAGTGATTTGGTACAGGTATTTTTAATATTAGAAATGTAGCTGTTGCTGTAGATGAAAAATTGGTGCTGTTATATTTATCTCTCTAGCTTGAAAAGTTGCTTGTACCATCGAATTGGCCTGACTTGGTGTGTAAAGAAACAATGTTTGAATCTACATTTGTAATTCCTAAGGATGTTGTTGCTAGGAATCTGCAGATATATTCTTGTCAGTTGTTAAAAAGCTATTATGATATGGTAAGCTGTTATTTTTTCTTAATTTTTGGAATAGCTATTTATAATACTCTTGTTGATCATGAAGGTTAAAAACATAATTTTCTTTAATCTTATACATATCATAATCATCATATAAGTAAATTTTACTTTTTCTTTACATTAAATAGTATTCCTTGAAAGGATAAATTGTAACATTTAATTAATTTGTTTATTTAATGAAATGCTACAATTTTCCATTTTTTGCAATGTAATTCTGATTAACAGTTCTTATGAATTTCTGCTTTAGCTACTACAGAACTCCCAGAACAATACAATGGATCCTACAGAGAATTTGGATTGGGGTTTACTTGTGAGGAAAACTGGAAAAATTGCTCATACATTCCACAACAAACAAGTTAATATGCATTATGACTGGGAAAGACTTGATAAAGCTTATGTTTATTTCATGAGAACATTTTGGATGAAAAAAACATTGAATGAAAGGTAATATATAATTTTTGTGAGAATGTGTGTGCTCATGCTACAAAAAAACATGTATATTCATATGTTGTCATACTGTAGATACTATATAACTTCATTTTCTCTCTAGGTTTAAAAATAAATCCTACTGTTTTTGGAGAAAGTAAACTTAGTAGTGTGAAACCAGAAGTAGATCATATTTTTCTAATACTTTCAGTAATATTTACGAAAAATGTGCTAATGCTACTTTGGATATAAAAGAAAGTAAAAATGATGAAAAGAAAATGAATTAGGAATAAGTTTATTTAATGTTTTATTTTCTTTCCTGAAAACTGTATAGAATAACACTTGTTACAAGCATACTCCAGACCATTATGGAGTACTTCGAAAACAGAGATTTTTTGTACAGGAATGACATATTAGCACTGGTGTTCTCTGCAGATCAGATTATTCAGTTGCTTAACCAACAGCTCCAGAAAATCATAGGTAATTCACTTTCTTCTTTATTTTCTTTTTAAGTAGAAAAAGCTAAAACATTTGCAACCTTTTATAAAAATGAATTAAACCAAGTTTTTTCTTACATTTAGAACTAATGTTGTTATTAAAATACATAAATTATGAAAAAAGTTTATTTTAAATTAATCTTGTGTTGAAGTTCATGTAAAAGTTTATCCGTGTGAAGACATGTTTAACAATTCCTTTGAAATATTTATTGGAAGTTCCTATTCTGATGGCTTCTGTTTATATTTTTATTTGCATTTGAAAGATAAAACTATTTATAAGTTGTCTATCATGAAAATTTAATAAAGTTACATTATTATAACTTTCTTTTTTCTTCTTTGCAATAGAATCAAATTCAATACAAGTTTCTTATCTGACTTTGGACTTGCATACATTGACCAACTTGTTCCAACAGATTGTTGCCAATCTTCCAGAGATTATTGAAACTGGAGTTCATATTCTTTACAGTGATCTGGAAAAGGTTCATAAGTTCTTCATATTGTAAATATTTAACAAAGATAATTTTACATGTATGTAACTATTGAATTTTGAAGTTTTAGGTGTGGGAATAAATATTGAACAATAGGACAAACCAAGTAATCAACTTACATAATGATGATGTTTTAGAAGAAAAGAAACTAATATGTATAGGATAAATGTTTTCAGCCATAAAGACACGTAATCAAAAATAACTAATTTTTATTTTAATCTGTATTTGAAAATTTGTTATCTATTTCAGTGAAATCTTGTTCTTTCATTAGTTAGTTGACTCACAGTTTGAAATGTCCTTTTCTAATTACTTCATTGCTATTTATTATTTGTGTGTGTATGTATGTGTTGATGCTACAACAGTGAAAAGCCATGAGTGTAGAGAGTAGGAATGTAAAATAACAAAAAGATGTATTTAATTAAGTATGTTTTGTATGTATGTGTCTGTGTGTGTGTGTGTGTGTGTGTGTGTGTATATATATATCAGCATTTCCTTTCTGTTAATTAAACTATTTCCAGATAATGAAACGTGTGATTCAACTTGACAGCAACATCACCAGAAGTCCTTGTGATGGTTTTAGTTTCTCTGATCTGCTAGATATTTCACCGACATCACAACTTAGAACATTGGAGCAAACTGTTTGCCAAGATAAAGCATTTTTGATCCAAGAGATCCTGAGCCAACACACCATAGGACTTATTATGGGAACAGTGAGTTTATAAGTTTCAGTGTTTATAGGAACTGGAGTTAGAGGAAAATAATGTACCTATACCTTTTAAGCCTGAATTTTATATGTGATTTAATAATCTTTACATAATTTTTCATTGTAGATATTATTGATATATTTCAAAAATTTTTGGAATGTTTGAATACATTCTGATCAGGATTAAACAAACTAATATCCAAGTTTACCATAATCAAGAAATCAAGCATGAGGACATGTCACTACTTAAATCACTAAGTTTTAAATATATTAGTTGCAATTGTATTATTAATAATAAGTTCCACAAACATTTACAATTTTAATTCAGAGTGAGTAAAAATGATATAAAACCTTTTTCTAAAATTTCATTATTAAATTAATATGGTGTTTTTGTAAGCATAGGGCCCTAGAATAAAAGCTACTAAATAAAAACTAAATACTGAGTGATAAATTACCATATTGCTTTAGGCTACAAAACCACAGGTATTAACCTCTTAGTTAGTCTAGTCACCAAGTCTTATCAGTGACACATTTGGCAAAGTTATGAATTCACTTGTAAAAAAAGCTAAATATAATTATTGAACTAGAATAAGTAATTTGATCACAGACACTTGATCAGTGACTTTTTCATATTTTATCTTTAGGTACAGTTCAACTGTCTTGTATAACTTTTCTCTTTCACGAAGCTGACAACCAATACTTGTAGAAGGCATTTCATTGTAATTCTAACTTACTTCTTGTACAAGTGTAAGATATTGTTTAAAGCTTAAATATAACTTATCAATTTCTGTATAGGTGTATATATACAGTCACAAACTTATAATCATAGCAAGTTTCCTACACAGATCACAACTACAAAATTTACCCACTAATGAATATATAGCTAATTTAATATACCATTCTTACTTGTAATGATTACAATGCTGTTATATTTATGACTGCTTCAGTTAAAGTTTAATGTGAAAGTTACGATTTAGATAATTTATATAGCATGACTGTTAAATTTAGTTATTTTTAGAAGTGATAGTTTATGGCAACCTTGTTTATGAACCTTCTGTTGTGTAGTTCATCTGTTGTGAATTGTAGATTATGTTATTGCATCATATTAATAGAACCTTTTGAGTTTTTCTCATTGTTTTAATTTAGTATTATTGCAATACATTATCTAGTAGTGATTTGAATATTCTAGACTTCTGTTGGTGTATAAATACGTGCCAGATATTTAGTTTGAGAGATAGATCTAGACTGCATGATTGTAAATTTAGTGATAAAGAGCGTAAAGTGGGGATTTTTAAAGTGAAGTTATTACAGATTGTGTTGTAATAATAGAGTAGAGAAGAACAATTTGTCTTTTCAATGGTGTTCTAAAATAATTGAACCAGTCTGTGTGGACTTTGCTGAAAAAGAGACAATTATTGAAAGCTCTGGATACAACTGTGGGTAACCAACAGTCTTTCAAACTTTTGTAGATACGTTTGACTTGTTTTAATATATTAATTTAAAACAAGTGGACTATGTGCTGTTTGTTTATTGTTGAAATTTATCACCAACAAGTCACAGACATCTACTGTAAAGAATCTGGCCCTGGTAAAAACCAGACAAATGCATTGATTCATCAGTTGGGTGCTCTTACTGTCAGTGGTATTTATGGCTGTAATCCCAATAATATTTCATGAGATTCAACCAGCTTATGAGATTTAGGTGAGTCTTAAATTAATCTAATTTGGGAAAATAATCTTCATAATAAAAAAGATATATGTTAAAAATTACAAAACTAACTAACTAAATAAATATATTTTAACCAATATTGTACATGAAACTAACATAAATGCTAGTTAATTGCTTCATTCACTATTTCCGATTCTTTGTCTCTTAAAAAGCCTTAGGAAACCACAAATTAAGATGCTAACTTTACTAATTTTTTTGTTATGCAGCTTTTGTTTTTTTGCTTGATTGTTTTATAGCAAAGCCACACTGGGCTATCTACTGTGTCCACTGTGGGGAATTGAACCCCAAAATTTAGCATTGTAAGTGTGTAAATTCACTGCTGTACCACAGAGGGACAGCTTTTTATTAGGACTTTTATATGACATGAATGCATTAAGAAAAGTGGTGGATATTTTGAACATTTCTAATATTATAATGATTCACTAATTAATACACAGCTTAACCATGAAAATTTGTTTGTTTGTTTTTAAAGCAAAGCCACATTGTGCTATCTGCTATGTCTACTGCATGGAATTGAACCCTGATATTTATTGTTGTAATTCCCAATTCTTACTAATTGTGAAAAAGGGTCATTGTTCTAGCTGTAGCTGTGTTTTTCTTTCGTTGTGGGGTTCATTGTAGCATATATATATATATATATATATATATCTACTAGTACGACGAGGCGACTAGGAGGTAGAGCAGATAAAACTAATATTTCATTGAGATATATTGAT